TATAAAAGTTGAATCCCATGTGGATAAGCAAAGGACCCTAGTGGTCTCATTCAACAGAATAGACGAATGATCAACTTATTCACTTGGGCGCGATTGTTCCTTTTTTTTTTCTTCCGATGGCAATGCCACAAGTCGGGAGAATCCAAAAGCCCTCCCAGGGCCTGCAAGGTCACGCATCACCGTACACGAGTGAGCGCGCCTTAGACATCCCCGGGTGGGTGGGTGGGGAAAGAATTTTTCAGGCTCTCTGTCTATCTCAAATGCTCTCAGCCCACAGCTTGACGATGCAGACAAGGTCAAAATGCAGAGCCTTACCTCAAGGTTGAAAAATTCTCAATCTCTTAAAAATCATGATACTCACAAGTTCCCCAAATACTGCAAGCGGCGTCATGACAAGCAAATGTTAAAAGCATGATGCACGCAAGTTGCTATACGAGGGAAGTAGCTTCCCAGGTTACAAAGATCCGAAAAGCGAGTTTCAAAAGTGACAGACAACTTTTGAAACATTGTGTGTCTATAAAGCTATAGGAGACGAGTCTCCAATAAAGCTTATAGCCACAACAACTTTTCGGAGATAAGTGTAAATCCCAATGTACGTGTATAGCATCAGACGAATATAAAAGTTGAATCCCATGTGGATAAGCAAAGGACCCTAGTGGTCTCATTCAACAGAATAGACGAATGATCAACTTATTCACTTGGGCGCGATTGTTCCTTTTTTTTTTCTTCCGATGGCAATGCCACAAGTCGGGAGAATCCAAAAGCCCTCCCAGGGCCTGCAAGGTCACGCATCACCGTACACGAGTGAGCGCGCCTTAGACATCCCTCTTCAACTCAAGCGGGCTCAGGAGTTCGCCTGACATGCAGCATGAAGGGTGATCACGAGAGCAAGTGCCCCAGAAAGGAAAGTTTGACGAGCCCCTTGAGGGAGCGTCCGAAGGATTGCTAGGACTTGGTACACGTGCTATCCAACCAATCATGGGCACTGCATCGGCCCGCTCAAACTCGACAAGAAGTGATCGCCACACAGTGTCCCTGGAGGTCCCACTCACACAGGCGGCATGAACACCTGAGTGGTCCACGAAAAACAAGGCCCTTGAGGAATTCAAGTAAGACCCCCATAGTCGTCTGGCGACGACAACTGCAAATAACTCAACGGGTCCAATCAAATGGCGCTTGCCGGCATTGCTCCACTTTTGAACAAGAGCGGCGGGCATCCTGCACGCGAAGAAGCGGGTGTTCCAACTTCCCTCATGGTGGTGGTAAAGGATGCCGCCTATGGTGCAGACAGGATGACCGTCTTCAAACTCGCAGGCCCCATCGGTGAAGACGCAAGCACACCCTCTCGGTATCGCCGTGGGGATTGCCCGAGGGGGGCCCGAAACCAAGCGCTGCTTAAGGTTTTGGAAGGCATCGCACTCAAACTTGCCAAGACGCAACTCCCCATTTGAAGAGCACAGGGACCTAAGCTCCATGAGGGCTAAACGCCCCAACCTCCCCAACAGCTGGCCTTCCATGAACTGAATGCGTCCGAACAAAGATGCGACCTCGGAGGCCTTAAGAAAACCCTTGTCAAGCACCTGGTCGATGGAGGCGGACATCTCGGTGCACTTGTCCTCGCGATTTGCAACTCTGACATGCTTAAGGGTGGGGTCAGACAGGTCTAGGGTGACACCCAAGAGGTTTGCAGAAGGAGCGAAGCCTTCCTCCTTGTCAGCGGCTCGGGTAAAGCCGAGAAGGGAAAGGATGTTGTGCACGGTCTTCTCACAACTCCCGGCAAGTGCTGACAACTCCAGCAGGGGATAATCATCGAAGTAATTGCTTGTCATTACCCAGGCTTCCTGCAGGATTCTCTGGAGCAGTCGGGCCACCCTGTTGAATGCCGTGACGCTGGCGGAAGCGCCGAAAGGTAACACCTTTGAGACATACCCCACCACACGGGAATCAGACGGTCTGCGCAAGCTCACGACACACAGACGGTGGTCCGACGGGTGAAGGGGAAGCTGCTTGTAGGCGGATTTAAGATCCACCGTTTTCACAAGCGGACGTGCCCGCGAGGTGTTGGAGGCCCAGAACGGATGGAGCGGACCAGAGATCACCTCCCCCGTGGAGAGTGGGACATGCACATAGGCTTTGCAAATCAGGGCGCGCATGATGAAGGCTGCAGTCCAAACAATCTCGTCGATGGCTCGGAGCGTGAGCTTGTCGCAAGGGGCAAAGGCACTGTTGACCCCATTCTCGGCCAAGTCATCGATGGGCCTTAGCTTCCCTCTTTGCTCCACTGCAAATCGACGGGCAGGGACCCATGAGCCCTTGAAGTAGTCTTCGAGTTCGTCCCAGGACCGAGCTGGGTCCAGCCACCCCTTTTCCGAAGACTCAGCATGCGTGATGTCGAAGAGCTCTTGCTCATGAGGATTTGCCGGGCTTTGGGCTATCTTATCCCACAAGAGAGGCTTCAAGACCTCAGCCTGTTCCATCAAGCCGTCCACAGTCAGTTCTGCCGGTTTAGGGTCCAGAGGAAAAACACCGCTAGGCTTTTCCTCCCCGACAAGCCGGAAACCATGCGTGAGGTCGTGGTGCAAGTGCTCGTCGGGCCAATCCAAGGATTTGGCAATCCTATCAAGGAGGAGGAGCTTCTTACCTCTTACCACGCTTGCCACGGAAGGGTGGAGGGACGCGTGCAGTTGTTCCTCGCGCCCCTCCAACTCCTGAGCCCACTTCCTCCAGGTGAGGTAGAGGTCCAACCTGCGTCGAACAACAGTCAAAGGACCATCGAGGAGCACCCTGGCGAGAACGGTCAAGGCCTGGTCAGGTAGGGCTGTGGCTACGTCAAAGGGGTGTGTTAGGGTAAGGGAAAGCTTGGCAAACTGCAAGGGGTCCCGGTACACACCACAAGTGATTGATGCCACAGCAGAGTGGCCAGCCATCAAAACCTGATCTGCCAGATTCCTGTCGGGTCGAGGGCGCTTCGGGAAAACCACCCCCCCTTCAAAGTTAACCCGGAGAACCTTAGAACCGACAGGCACGGGGCCCAAAGCAGCGCACAGGCAGTTCTTGTCATCAAGCGCAGGCAACTGGCCGGACGGAAGGGGGACAGTGACCTGGTAATGGTACTCATCGATCAAGACAACAGCCTTAGATGTGCGTGGCTGCTTGTGTGTGGCCGTTCGGGCCGACTCATTCGAGAGGCCGGACGGAGAAGGCATAGCATGAGAGGCACCCAGGGCCAGCGAGGCCGCGGAAGCATACCTAGTGCAAAACACCTCGGGATACTCGGCTTCATCGGCAGTTGAGAAATCCCCGGAAGGAAGGATGCCCCACGGGCGGTGAGGGTGGGAGTTGTCGCACTGGCGGGCAAGGGCGGACAACTCGGGCAGAGAGGTCCACAGCTCCTGATGCTTAGCGCGCGCGCCCCCGTGCATGCAGGCGTCATAAGGCACAACGGAACAACGAGGACGCAAGTGAAGGAACTCAGGCAACAACCACATGTAGGAGCGAGCAGGGTTCTCCACGCAGAAGTGAGTGTGGGGTGCCTCCTCAAGCAGCCAAGCACAGAAACGCGCAGCGTGACGGTATATCGAGTTAGCAGAGTCGACCTTGGCCTGCCACGAGGGAGAAAGGCCGGGCAGCCCCGCAGGGAAGGCCTCAGTGCGAAGGGCAGGCGGGGATGGCTGCCCTTTGATCGGGATTCCGCGTGCCCGCGAGGCCGTGCCACAGGGAGGCGCAATGTGAATGAGGAACACCTGCCGGGCCTGCACAAGCCGGCGAAGGTAGCCCCACGAAGACTCCAAGCGTAAGTCAAGATGCACACAATGCACCAAAGGAACATGGCGGTTGCCAGGATGGTCGACAGCCAAGACCTGAAACCCTAGGGCTCGAAACGCCGCGGAGAGGCCAGCGGACCCACAGCACAACTCGAGGAACATCAATTTTTGCGGCCGGACGGCCGGCAAGGCTGTTGAGTCGGTCATGGCAGTCGAAGGCCCAGGGGGCCCTTCCGAGGCGGCGGCTTCTTGCATTGCGGTGTCAGGGCTGGCGGGGTGACCCGAGGGGCTAGGGGAACTACACCCCGAAGGCCTAAGGTCAGGGAAACCAGTGACAACTGCAGGCAGTGTGCGTGGAGGCGGCTCCTTAGTTGGAAGTCGGAAGCCCAAAGCGCGCAAGGCACGACAAGAGGCCCCATCGAGTGATCCAACATTTTTGAGGCAATAAGCAATCAACACAAGGCGGCGGCCCTTGAACGGCATCACTGCATGCTGCAACCCTTGCGCATTGAAGGCAATGGGACCCCGTCCCAAATCACAAAGACGCGCACGGAATGACTGACCTCCATGAGAAACCACATGTCCCTCGGGGTCCGCGACCGCGAGCTCGCCTCCTTCAAAGCGGGTCAAGGGGATTACAAGGTTGGGCAGGCAAGCGTTCTGGGCGTCGCGGTGAATTCCCAACTCGGATCCCTCAAGGATAACAAAGCTGCTGAACTGGTGAGCGGGGGCCACCTCCGCAATCAGTCGGGTGATCACCTTGACAGCCTCGGGGAATTGGGTGACCGAAGATCGCAAGCCTACAAGGGGGCCCCGGCGGTACATCCCCGAATAGAAGGACTTCTGAACCTTATCCCTTATGGCATGGGGAGTGCGTGAAACGGCAACATCGGGGAGTGAATCGAAGGTCTCAATGGCATGCAAAAGGGTGGCAGATTTGGGACTAGAAGAAGATTGACTTGGGGTCGCCTCGCCCTCAGGGGCGGGAGCGATCCGCAGGGCCTGGAGGTTCGGTTGCCGGCTAGCATCCGATCCACCAGAAAGCTTCGGACTGTCACGCGGCAGTGATTGCACTTCGGCATTCGCTGCACCGGGGGTCGGTTGCCAAACTGCATCCGATCCAGAAGAAATCTTGAGATTGCTGCAAGGTTGCTCAGCGGCATCCTGCACAGGCTGTCCCTGACCCGCAAAATGCAAGGGTCCAGGGTCACCAAACTCGACTGACTGGGGCCCTAGTCACTCCGACTGAGCCTTGCTCCGCTTCGGGCAAGCAGAAGCGCCGTGGCCATGCTGCCCACACTTCGGGATGGCGCATGCGTGGAGGCCCCTCTGGCACGCATTGTTCTTGACCTCATTGGCACACGTGCCGAGCTGGAATCCGTAGCAGTACGGATTTCCTTTCTTCGTGGCAGACACGCACCCCCACGCCACCATTTGCGCTGGCATCCCGGGAGCTTTGGACTTTCCTTTGCCCTTGCCCTGGCCCTTGGGATTGCGAGGCTTGCGGGGGCCGTAGGGACCGGGGCGCTCGGGTCGCTCCAACTCCTTCCCTTCATCAAGGGATCGAGAAGAAGCAGAAGGAAGCGGCTGCATCAAGCACACGACATCGAAAGAATTCATGACAGTTGGGAGGTGCGTGTCCAAGGGCCTGGCTCCACCAGAGGATTGCACTCCGTCACGGGTCAAGTCCCGCAACTCGCTGAAGAGCTTCTTGTCTGCAGCCACGAGTTGGGCCCAGGTTGGCCGAACATACCCAGCCGGGGCTTCTTGCATGCGTGCACGCATCAAACGATCACTCCACTGTTGCATGGTCGCGTACTCGACAAGGTTGGCTTGGTCCATGGCAAGGGAGCGACGCTGCAACGCCTGCATGACATGAACCTCGGAAGATGTGACCGCTTTCTGCTCCGCATCCTTGTTTTCAACCTTCAGACGCCCAGTGTGCTCGTCGACGGTGAAGCGGGTGTCACGGCGTCGGTCTGAGCCCACTTCTTGCTCCCTTGAAGTACATATTTCCCAAGACAGATAGCGCAGTTCGTTGTTTTCATAGCAAGCCACGGCCCTGTCTACCAAGGCCTCGCTAGGCTCGCTCAAGCCCTTGATGGAGACTCCAACGAGCTTCTTTTTCTGCTTCTCGAACCTCTCGGCTCGCTCGGGTTGTGTCAAGCGCCTGCTTGCTGGCTCTTCAGACTTCTCGATCTTTTGGCGCAGCTCAGAAGTGACAACGGCGTAGGACTCGTGGTACAGGGCTCGGAAGCTGGCCTGGACACCAAGTTCCGCATCCCTCCCAAGCATGAGCTTCAGTGCGGCCATCAACGGGGATTCATCGGCTTGACCTGGGGTGAAGCTGGAGATGAACGCCAGCTGTCTCAGTGAAGACACCGCGGCTTTGATTTTCGTGGCATCCTCCTTTGTGAGTCCGCTGGCATCTACCCTCGCATTGAAGACACTCTGGCTGTCCGAGTAAGAAGCGGCCATCCTCCTAGCTGCACCTGACGGGATCAAGCCAAAACGTGCTCACTCGGCTGCCGAAATCCACCGCACGCATACAGCATGATAGTCAAAACTCGGACGGGTGCTCACCTTGCCATCTCTGTAAGCTTGCGTTCCTTTTCTCGTTCTCGGCAAAAAGAACACGTTTGGCTCGGCATCGCCTTTGCGCCCCTGAGCACGAGCCTGGCATCGTCAATGACGCCCCAGGCCCTCTCCTCCTGCCAGGGGTGGTTCGCAAGCCCTGGCATCACCCAAAAGGCGCCCCAAGTCTGCGATCCATCACACTGGTCCCTCAGAAGATCTTGGATAACACTGCTTGCAAAACGGATACAAAACTTGCGGTATATCATCGCACTTAGAATATGACGAGGTGATCGCTCGGCCGCAACGGAACATAGTGCCCTCCTCCGACGAAACAACATGGATGAAGCGACTGACTCGATGACGAAAAACCTCTGCCTCATCCAGCCGTTCCCTCAAGCCAGGCTCGGGTTGCCACGGACCAACAAGCTCGTCGACGGCCTGCTCCTCTTCTTCCAAGTCTGGATGCTCCTCGTCTTCACTGCCTTCTGTTGACTCCGAGACGTCATCCGGGGGGGCCTCGGGTGCAGCCGGGCGCTCCGGTGTGAACATCCCTGACCTTGTGCAGTCGGGTCTGAACTTGTCGAAGGAAATGTCCTCCAGAATCTGATCGAACTGCCTTAGTGCCGGGGCGACGTTGTCTCTGCCGTACACGACGTCGCTGTCCGCCCGAGAGGCACTGTGGTACCCCAGAATCAAGCGAATTTCCTTGCTGGCCCCCCATTTTGCAGCCCAGCTGAGGCCAGTGGCCTTCATGGAATGCGTGCCAAGAAGCTTGACTGTAGCAACGTCCTCCCCAGCCTTATACAGCAAGCTCCTCAACCACTTGGCTCCCATCCCAACGGCAATCGGCGATGAGGCCCAACCCCCCCCGTCCATGGGGGCGGGCAAGAGGGGCGAGTCCTCAGACCAGCCTGGGCCGTAAAGCTCGGCGATGTCCAACCACGCAATCGCCCACGACTCATCGAGAAGGCCCTGAACCGGGGCGCACATGGAAAGGTAACGCGTCTTCCGCTCGAGGGTGTAAGCCGTCTTCGTTCGACACACAGAAGCTTCAAGGAAGCCCCTGACTCCACCATCGGGCAGATTGGTAACATCCTTGGTGATAGCGCCACTGTTTTGCATGTCGGAGAACCGCGCACGAGCATAGGTGGCGTACAGGAAACATCCGGCAGCATATCTGTCCGACCCACTGAAGTCACCCCAGCCGGTGACGATCCTTTCCAAGGCCTTGACGTGTGAGACCTTGAGCGGCGGCTTCTGAACCTGCTTTCTCTTGTTCAAGTACAGAGCGTTGCAAGCACCAGTCAAGCGGGTCGAAAACACATCTTCAAACTTACATTCAAGGACATGCCGACAAAAAGCCACCGAACTCAGGAAGCTGCGAGCGAAAGTAGGGGCTTGCCTGGCGCAGTACTCCTTGACGAAGCGGTACAAAAGGTCCTCCCTGAATGGGAAAGGCGGCTGGCCTTCCCTTTTACAGAACTTCAAGTACCTGAGAATTGGCCCCGCTCGGCCATGCAGGGTGGCGCTCGCCTTCAAAGCAAAAATGTCAAGTAGAACCGAAGACAACTGCTGAGGTTCACCACCGGATGCATCCACCGCAATCTTCTCCACGACCCCGAAGTGCTCGCCGTGTGCCAGCATTATGCCACTCCATTTGGCAATGGCAGCGGATCTGCTTTCTGTCTGCTTAGCATGCCAAGGGGTCCCTTTGGACTTTGCAAACGGAATACTGGGCGCAGGGGCCGGCACAGGAGGTGTTGTGGGGAGGGGAGCAGAAGACCCCAAGGGTGCACTCGAGAGCCCGACGCCCCACCGTTGGTAGGGAGGGAGGCCTGGCAGGATGCTTGGTGGGTTGAGAATCTGGGACCTGTCCCAGGGCTGCACGAACCTGGTTTTGGACCCTTTAAGGAGGTACTCGAGATGCTGTTCGTAGGCCTCCTCAAGGTTACGCTTCATGGTCCCAAGAAAAACCCCCTAATCAACCCAAAAAGGGACCCTGAAGCGCTGAGGGCCGAGCAGAACTCAAGAAGCCAGCGGCAAAAGAATCCGCAGACAAGTATGAGGCCAGTGCGCGACGGCCACGAGGGCAGCCCAGGAACCTGGAGGGAGAAAGAGGAGCACACGAGCCCCGTCGGAGCGGCTGAGTAGAACGCCTCGGAGGTTACTCTCCAAGATGTATGTGTACAAATTGGGGCTTTCTTGGGAATATTCAAGAAGGCGCTCGAAGTAGAAGGAACGTGGGCGCAAGCGAAGTGCAACAAAAGCTGTGGGCGCAAAGGGCGCGAGAGGCTCAGAGGCCCCGGACTCGCTGCTCCCACTGGGGGAGGAAAGCATCCGCCACCCCCGCGGGGTGGCTTGCACGGGCCCTAAGGGCACTTGTTGAAAGGGGGCCCCGTTCGGAAAAGAAGAGCCTGTTGAGGACCCACAAGGTTACGCAAGAACTGGGCCCAGGAAAGAATTTTTCAGGCTCTCTGTCTATCTCAAATGCTCTCAGCCCACAGCTTGACGATGCAGACAAGGTCAAAATGCAGAGCCTTACCTCAAGGTTGAAAAATTCTCAATCTCTTAAAAATCATGATACTCACAAGTTCCCCAAATACTGCAAGCGGCGTCATGACAAGCAAATGTTAAAAGCATGATGCACGCAAGTTGCTATACGAGGGAAGTAGCTTCCCAGGTTACAAAGATCCGAAAAGCGAGTTTCAAAAGTGACAGACAACTTTTGAAACATTGTGTGTCTATAAAGCTATAGGAGACGAGTCTCCAATAAAGCCTCTTCGGCCTCGTCCTTCTTGCTGCTGCGGCTCATCTCTCTCTCTTCTTATTTCTGTGGGGCTCTCCCACCTTCCTGTCTTCTTGAAGTGCTTCGTCACGAGGTTCCAGTCTTCGGCACCTTTGATTCGCGCTCCTTTCACCTGCGCTGATCCTTTCTGATCAAGCCGAACTGCTCGATACTCATTCGTGTCTTTGCAATACTCCCAGATCCAACCACAATCTGTGAACGTGACCACATTCCATCTGCCCTTTGCGTTCTTGCTACCTTTCTCTCCTCTCTGCGGTGGTTCTCGGTACTGCTCTTCTTCTTTCTCCTTTCTCTCTTCTTCTGTTCCTGCTGCTCCTCCTTCTTCTTTTCCTTCTTCGCTCGACTCTGCAACGTCGGGCGGTGGCGTGTATCCTTTCTTTGTCCACCAGTTTGGATCATACCACTGGCCTTTGATCCTGACCCACAATGCTCCTTTGTGGATCTGCCACACATTGCCTTCTGCATCCTTCTTTCCTTCTGCTCCTAGTGTGGGCTTTCCATCTTCAGATCCTGAATCTTCAACTTCAACGACTTCAATCTCCTTCATTCTTGCTCTTTCCTTCTCTGCCTCAATCTCCGCTTGTGTCTTTCGTTCCTGTGCTTCCTTCAACTCCTTCTTTGCCTTCTCCTTCTCTTCTTTCGTCGCTTCTTGGGCTTCCTGCTCCTTTCTTCTCATTTCCTCATAGGCCTCTAGCTTTGCTCTTTGCTTCTTCGCCTTCTCCTTCGCGATTGCCTCGTTCCTTTCATCTTCCTTCTCCTGTGCTTCCTTCTCCTCTTGTGCTTTCCTTTCTTGTGCTTCCTTCTCCTCTTGGGCCTTCCTTTCTTGTGCTTCTTTCTCCTCCTGTGCTTTCCTTTCCTGTGCTGCCTTCTCCTGGGCCTCTTTCTCCTCCTGGGCCTTCTTTGCCTGCTCCTGTTGTCTCATTGCTTCGGCTTTCTTGTCTGTCTCCTCTTTCCTCCTTTGTCGTTCTGCTGCTTCAATCTTCTCCTCGTTGGCTTTCCTGATCTCTGCATTGATCCTGTCTTCCTCCTCTCTTCTTTGTTCTGCTGCTTCTAGCTCTTCTGCTTCTCTCTTTCTCTCGTCTGCTTCTTTCTTCATGTGCTTCGTGATCATGTCGTAGTCCTTCTTCAACTGCTCTCTCACCTCTTTGGCATCTTGCTTGTACGCTTCTTTCTGCTTCTCTAACTCTTCCTTCTCTTTCTCCAAAGCTTTCTTCTCTGCTTCAGCTTCACTGAACTTCGCAACCACCTTCGCCTTCATAACAAATGCTTGGTCACGATCTTCTTCTGCTTCCTTCGCCTTCTCTTCTGCTTCTTCTCTCTTCAACTTTTCTTTCTCCAAGGCACGTTCTTGCTTCTCCATCTTCGCGATCAGCTCGTCGAACTTCATCTTCACGGTCTCGTCGTCTTCGAGGACACCTTGCGAGCTCTTCTCTTTGTCTTCTTCTTCTTTCTTCTTTGTGACTTCACCTTCAGGCTTCTTTTCTTTGGGCTTCTCTTCTTTCTCACCCTTCTTCTCTTTCTTCTGGTTCACTGCCAAGTAGACAATGATTGTCACCAGAACAACAATCACAGCCATGCACACGGGCACGAACATCTCAAGCTCAGGCATGCTCGTGAAAACGTGTGAAAACTTCATGCTGCTGTTGCTGCTTTGACCATGTAAAACTTCTTGTTCAACTTCTTGAAGTTCTTGAGGTGGCTCTTGAGCTGTAGAAAACGGACCAAACACAAAACTCATCAGCTGCATGCAAAAATATCTTCGTGCTACAAAATCTCCTTCTTGCTGACCTGCAGATTCAACTGCAAAACCAAAAGCTGACAATAACGTCAAACCAAGTCTGCTTCCGGATACCTTTGTCAATCTTCTGACTGTAGCTGTGCTTTCTGCGGCCATTCGTTCTTCACGACCGATTGCTTCTCGATCATCATGAACTTGAAGGATGTTCAAAAGTAGCTTCATTCTCGATGCGTTGAGGGGCTTGGTCCCTAAGTCGGCAGGGTTGAAAACAGTGCTCACTGCCTTCACGCTGCATAGGCCGTTTCTGGTAACTTCTTGCAACCAGAGCATTCTCGTTGCTAAGTGCTTGATACGACCAACACCTTGCCGGTGCACAATGCCACGCGCTGCACTGCTGTCTGTGTACGCCTTCATTCGCGCTGCTTTGCCAGAAAGGAACTCTACGGCTTCTCGAATGCCAATTCCTTCTGCGACAGCACCAGTGAGTGCGTAGTACTCGGACTCGCCACTGGAAAGTGCCACAGTTTTCTGCGTTCTTGAGTAAGAAAACGCATACTGGCCGTCCAGGAAGATGACTCCTCCTGATACAGATTTCCGGCTGCTCTTGTTGCCGGCCCAGTCGGCGTCAGAAAATACTTCGACCAGGTGACTGCCACTCTCGATGCTCTTCTCGTTCTCATTCTCGGAATCTTGCTCCAAATTCTTGCTTCTTTGCAAGGTTGCCGTTCCAGGTCTCCCTGCTGTGTAGCAAACCGCATAGCCTGCAGTCTTCTTCAGATACAACGCGCAATGCTCGAGCTCTTTCTGCTTCTTCTGCGTAGGAGCCTTCATTCCAGTTGCCAAATTTCGGACTGCATACTGGATGTCAGGACGATCTTGGGCAAGATATAGCAGTATACCGACACAACTTCGGTACACATTCTTCTTGTTCTCGTCCAGCTCTTTTGTCTCATCGGTGTTCTGCACATTTCCTGCTGCAGGGGTAGCTTTCTCTCTTCTCGATCCAAGGCGTAGCTTTTCAAGGAGCTTGGTGACATACTTGGTGTCAGGGCGGACAAACAACTTTCCGTCTTCATAGCTATACCTTCTCTTGAGAAAACGCACAGACTGCTTGGAAAATCCATTGCGATAATCTTCTTCTGTCAGAAAAGGTCCTTCTACTTGTAGCTTCACCTTCTTCGCTAAAGCTTCGAGGACGGGCTTCACCACTGCTGCTTTTCCTGCTACTTGAAGGTCATCGACATGTACGATGCAAACGGATACGACCTTGCCGTTCTTGATCAAGCGAAACAACGCTGGGTTCGCGATGCTTTTCTCATAGCCTTCTTGTTGCAAAAGTTCTGCACAAAATTCGCTCCACAGAAGACTAGCATCTCTTTGTCCAGGAAGGACACGACCAAGACGCCAGCATTTGGCTTCCATTCCGTGTACTGCTTGACTTCCTTTTCCTCGTGGAATCTTGCAGTGTACAGGTCTCTTCTGGGGAACCTGCAAAAATGCATCTTTGATGTCAAGCGACCAAATACTCCATCGATTTGCCAATGCCAAAATTGGAATCAGCTTCGTCAACGACGGAGAGGTAGCTGGGCTGAACACATCTTCTCGCTTCGAGTTGTTATACTCTCTTGCTACCAGCCTTGCTCTTCTCTGCCAACATCTTCGTGGCTTCAGGGCTTCATGAGGAACTTCTTGTTGCCCTTCAGGGATCTCGTTCTCGCAGATGACGTTTTCTGACTCCCGAAATCTCCAGTCGAAAACCAGCTTTGTTGTCAACCAAACAACTTCTTTGTTCTCTTCTTGCTCCATGGGCACCTCTTCTATGACACCCATCTTTGTCAATCTGGAAACTTCCTTTCCTGCTGCGGCATCGTCAAAGATCTCGAGGTCTTCTTCTGCGAGTTGAGGAGGTCCTGCTTCCTCTGAGAAGAAACTCTCTGGAAGGACTTGAACTTCTTCTTGTTGCTCTTCATCGCTCCATTCATCTTCTGTCTCAAAGTCACCAGCTTCACTGCCTGCAAAGCAATCTTCTTCTTCGTCCGACCTCTCATCATTGTCGGGCATTCTTTCTGCTCTCATCACCGAAGACGATGCTCCAGGTCCAAACCTGGGAAGCTCAACTCTTGTTCTTGGGATCTTGCTTGGTGAACCAACACATTCGAAGTCTGGTCTGCTTTCTCGATCCATCTTTGCTTCTTCAGGAACTTCTCCTCCTTCATCTTCGTGATCGGAAACCATATCTGCCAGAGGATCATGCTCATCATGAACAAGTTCAAATTCTTGAAGCAATTCTTCTGCATCTCTTCTTGCTTTCTCTTCATCACTTGTTGGAGGATCAGAGGCGGCTTCGTCTGCAACTTCATCTTCAAGGATTTTTCGCTCTTCACCTGCTGCAACTGCTGGAAGAACAATCTGCGG